GTATTTTGTCCACCTTTTCCCACGTTCACTTGGTGAAATAGAAGAGTGCTTTTGATTTCTTTGAGTGTGTTCGAGACTCGGTTCTCTAACATTAACTTTGATTAGATGCTTCTGGGGCAGATATGACTTCTACAGCCTTGACCTTCCTCTCTGAATATACTCCAGCGGCACTAAAGTCACGATGTCCACGCTCGCAGATGATGCGAAACTCTGATGGTGTGCGAGGTAAAATAGTTCCTTGTTGGCGCCTGAGCCTAGCTATGCATTTAAGCTCATAGGAGTCATGAAGACTCGCGCAGTTAGAGCATTTAGGAATTTTGACCTGACACTCTGAAGTCTCGTATACACCCGAACAGCGTCCACAGCGTTGGCTTTTAGTGCAAATTCGCGTGGGTTGGAATCCCCAGCAGCGCTGGCATTGCTCAATGGAGCGCTGACGCGTGTAAGGCATTGCCGGCCCACTTTCCTCGAACAGTCTAAACTTGAGGTTCGATAGTTTATGGCGGAAATGTACAAGCCAACTGGTAGAATATTGTCCCAGCTTTGTCGGTGATTGGCGTACCAGAATTGGAACCGCGCCACAGACTGATTGGCACTCACTTATCACCATTTCATTGGTGACTGTTATGCTCCCTTCCAGTGTCCGAATGAAAAGGGGCACGTGTGGTACCAACACTGATATCCATTCTGATACTGCCTCAATGACAACGTTATCCTGTCGGAAAGATGATCAGGTACTGAGGATAGTTTCCCCGAGTGCATCAGATGCGCACTCAAATGAGATACCCGAACGAGCCGGGTGCATTGCTATGACAGCTGATGGTGCAACTCCTGCAAGCTCAGAGATCATCTTCTTAATGGTGATTGGTGAGAGTCGACGCCATTCATGGTCTCTATCTAACGGTACGACAAGGCGTTTGTCGACCTTGGGATTCGATTTCGTTGATTAGTTTGTCTGTGAGACAGGTCTTCTTGGTAAGGGATAGCAGGTGGGTCACGTAGCCTGGCTGCTTTTTGGGCCACTGTAAACCAGGGCGAAGTGTTCTCTGAATGTCTAGCAGGTAGAGTACTACAGTGTGTGACAGGAGTACTTTTTGCCTTGTGTGTCACTGGTTTTGAAAAAATTGATGGGGGGTTAAGGACCTTACTAGTGGTCTCATAATTTTCCATTGAGCCAGTTGAAAAATGGGTCACGATGGTTGCAAAATTTGCAATTAAAGACGCCAGAATTGTTGACGCGTTTGTGTCCGCCTTGGTTTTAGCCCAAGTGTCGATAAGTTCTAGGAAATCTTGAGCAAGGCCAAGTCTTTCCTTTCTTTCGTGTTCTGCCTTCTGCATCGCATTCGTAATGCCTAGCAGGCTTGGATGGAGTTGCCCTCCGGTATTGGAAGGCGTTGATGATGACGATGCAACAGCGGGTGCCATTGCATCGGATGAAGGGTCTTTTGGTGGGTGATTTTAATGCAATGATAAAGTGAAAAAATGGATCGGTGTAAGAATTCTGAAAATCAGGCTTATGTCTCCGCCTAAGCTCAAACAACGGTCGAACCGCAACATCTTCACCTTCTAGTTGTGCCGGTATATTCGCTCAGTTTTCTCTGCAGATGAGGGATAGCCAAGAAGAATCAAAAACTGAAACAGAGTTGAAAGCAAACACAAGCATATCTCTAGTTGAAAACTTCTCAATAATACCACTCTTATCATTCTCATCTGAGTTCTCAACCTCCTCAACACACATCATTTCGCCTCAGTGACTGATCAAGGAGTTGCTCCAATTGCAATTGGGAGCTTGCCCCATTAATTACCAGCCAACTCTCACAACAAATTTATGACGCTATTTATATCTGAAAGGACGAAATTAAGTCGAAGTGTACAAAGCCTAGGTCCTGGCTTATGGGGGACTGCTGCTCTAATGGGGTTATACATCTTGAGGAAGGACAGGCTGCTGAGATGTGGAGCGAGAAGGTAAAGGGGTTTCTGAACACCATACTGGGACTCAGATTTTCGTGGAGTTTTCAACTTTGGATTTTTTGTGGGCGCCAAGACCGAGATTTCGGCTAATTAGCCAGGAGGGCTTCTATTGTCGATGAGTCAACGGCACTCCCCAGCGCCCTAGACGGCACAAAAAAAGTTGGGCTAAGCTACCATACAGCAATCACGTTCTGTCAAAACTTTTCTGACATTTTAGCCCGACCTTCGGGAAGGAGTTGGAAGGAGACTAGAAAGGCAGAGAGTGAATTCTCCGAGGTACCCACAAGTCTGCAGCGCCCAGCTGGCCGGCCTCTTCGAACGCTTCAGAAGGATCACTATGTCTTCGGATTTAGTCGTAATGTTGGTATTAGAAGAGCTCCGCACCCAGTGGCTTTTGCAAATTTTCCCGGCTTACATACATCCACAAATAGCCATCATTTCGTTGGCTTTAAAATGGAGATAATGAAGAGTAGAGGGCTCCTCCAAGTGTATGAACGAATGAGGACTTGTGAGGGGTAGTCCTGTTTTACGAAAGCTGTGTAGGAGGCGTAGAAGGAGCAATACTACCAGATAGGTATCCTTGGCCTGTATGCAGAAAGGTCCTGCATCTCCTCATACAGTTATAGACTCGGAAAGGGCCAAAAAATGAATTACCATCCTGAACATTGGAAGGCTGCAAACAAGCCACATACAAGACAACAGGCAGTAAATGGATTACTTGAAGTAAAATATCCTCAAATATGTACCGGAACATTAGCAGGGCCGAAAGCAGTATTGCAGTTCAGATAACAAGTCAGCATATCAGTCTTAATTCTTGTATTTATGGGAGGAAAGTCCATGGAGTGGTTAATCCAAAATACCCGTGTGGATATCCGTCACAAGATTTCAAACACATGGTCCCGGCACTTCCTCAGTAGTCTAGGGGGGAAAGAGAGGTGCTTCGATAGTTAATAGAAAGGTCCTTTACGGCAATGATGAACAGGCCAGATGAAATGAAGAGAATTACAAAGGGGATACTTCGTAACGGCTGGCTTAAACAGTTCCGGCTTGTAGAAGCTAATGTAGCAGTCAATGAAAGAGTGAAACGATCAGGAAAAGGATTGGACGGAATTTATACTGGATGAATAGCGTAAACGCACTTTCTGAAGTAAAACCTAGGAGCCCGATAGAAAAAGGATAGATAGAATCTGGAGGTTTCCACTGAATTGGGTTCTCACTAGGTAAATACCATAGCTATATGTGGGGACAATTCTCAACACCTCTAAGTGGTGTCCCCTACGAACCTTCAGCTCTCACTGTAGAGTCTGCAGAGCCGAGATTGAGTAACAAAGTCCTCACTTCTACGAGGATTGCCAATCGCTTTCGCCGTCTGTATCGTCTTCATCTCTCTACACATTCCCCTATAACCATTATCATGAAGCTAACCACGATCCGATTAGACGTTGGGCTCGAAGCCCTTCTCATCACCCATCCTTTATCATGAAGGGTCCTTCATAGTCATAGACTCAGTAGGGACTTAAATTTAATTCTATTCTATTCTATTCTATTTTATCATGAAGGAAAAGCCAACTGATGAGTTTCCGGAGCTTACCCAGCACCCGACACGAAGATGGCGGATTGGATTGAGTCGGTCTCGGATGTTATAAAGAAGGGAGTTCTAGATGAATATGCGCACCTCATGTGGTCCCGGTATCTAGGCCTCGCCTGGCTGGGGCTGCAGGTTTATTGAGACTTTTTCCTGTGCACGCAGTTTCCATTGCTACCTTTTTTTTCCCTCCTTTGGATAGAAGGTTCCGTGGAAAAGGTGGCCGGATTCTACGGGTAATTACTGAGATGAAAGGCTATTCATCAAGGGCAATATATTAACGATTTTTCAAAAAACATAAGAGGCAAGGAGCACTTTACAAGGTGTGGGCTTGGTCAGAGAGGAGCTCATCGTGCTAGATAGTTTGAGGCTCGAGTGGTACAATAAAAACATCACTATAGCTACATATATCTACAAGGACTAATAGAGTACTTGAATGGGATAAATGGATCAAATTTCAGAAATTATTTACTTGGCAATCCTTCCTCCAAGAGATGCTCGTTCCAATCTAATAAAAAGGGCTCAGCTAGTGCATTACGTAGTCATCCCACATGTATACATAGCGCCGGTCATGTGTCATAGCTAGATAGATGAATACACATTAAATGGTTTAAAAAGCGCACTATGCAGATATATGATATTACTACGCCCGCGTGCTATACACTCACGTATTGGTAAACTGAAGTCACATACCGACAAGGATGATAATTTAATAAAGTTACTAGTTACTTGGGAAAATTTTTAGATACCTTTGACACTTATCCTTAGTAATGGATTCAGCAGGGACTTTCATGAAATTGAAATTGATACATAGGTCACGCATGAGATTCTCTCTGAATATTCCATTAGTGCTGAATGGTAGCAATGTTAAGAAATGATTGAGATATCACAAAGAGCCGCGATAGTAATAATATTTTAGTCAAGTCTTTGTAACTGGTTAATTAAAAAACTTTAATAATGGTTGAAGATGTTCAGAGGAAGCTGAATATATTTAGGAGTCGTGGGGATAATTCTAAGGATAATTATAGCCCTAAAATAAGTCTGGATCTGTGCACATATATTTTACATGATCATAGATTCGTTATTGCGATAAATGCCATATACATGGTATCCAGTGATGTACCGCTTGTAGAGTGGAACCTTCGCTCTAGCTCATTTCCATAGGCCTGTATTAAAGGAGTTTTTGCTCGCATATTTAGCTAGGTTATATGCTGATATTTTTATGAAATATTCTTATTTCTTCTATCGCTGCTAGCTTTAGTGTTAAGTCAATGAACTGAGTAGGTGATGAGGATATCAGAAATCCCTAGGAGAATCCTATTCTACTGTGTATTTTTCGGATAAAGTTTACTCCGATGTCTCTGATATATAAGTTCGGATTTAGGTATGTATATGAGAGTTGATCGACACTGTTCACTTAACGGTAAACTGTAAAAATCCATGATTAAACGCGTGTCAGTGCCATCATGAATAGAAATTGTACAGGATATGAGTAGAGGAATAGAAATTGTGTTCTACGATTCTTCTGCGATCGGGCTACGGTTTGCATAGTTCCCCTTTCATCGCTTGGGTTCTCAGGTAATAAAACGTATTTTAGTGATCTCAACTATAGATTGTCAGCAGAAAGTTTCTTGATAATGTCTGATCGCTTACGAGAAAAAGGGCATTTGCCAAAAACGTGTATAGAAAGACGGACCATCCAATCCATCCACCTGTACCCTGACCACGGTTAAAGATCTCGCTAATGAGAAGAGTAACAATGGTGCCAACGAATTTATACCCGGAGTATGCAACTAAATCTAGTAGTTGAGATTCGTTTGATATTGATAATAGGTAACATCCAAGCTTCAGTAGTGCAATTTCGATGATAACAATGAACAGGGCAAAAGTTGAATTGTATCCAAGTAACTCAGGCTCGAAGGCCCCGCGTAGGCTGCGCAGAATTGTAGATAAGAGAATGTAGGTCACCAGCGCCATTAATGGGATGTACATGTCCGGACTATTGAGATCATCGCGAGGCGGTAAGAACCAACCTTCTTGACCATTTGCGCCGACCGACTGCTTACGCGACCAAGGTTTGTGCCTCCACGGAAAAAGAACCAGTACAAGCTTATTTACGACATAGCCATTGGATACTTTGAAGTAGTGTTTGAGTGCCGAGACATTTACATAACGGTTAAACTATTGGATTTAGTTAATAGATAGGCTAATGAGGACATGAAATCAAAGCTACTGACGTTTTGTTCCATGTACTCTGTACCATGTTTTAAAGCCGTCTGTCCAACTTGAAATCCCATTTGTGCGGTAGGATCAGTAATGAAGTTTCCATAAGGGCCAAAGGCCGCGTTACTGCTCTGCGAAACCTGAGGTTGATAGGGATTTCCATAACCTGATTGCGGATGTTGTTGTTGCGGAATTGGAGGCGGCGGCGATCTGAGTTGAGGAACCGTAGAAACATGTTGAGGGACTGGGTGGTGCAAGGGAGGAGAAGGTGCTGGATGCCCATAAGTTGGTCGATGCATAACGGCTGAATGATTTCTTTGGTTACAATGCTATACTTTTAATTGCGTTATGTCAGTGACCAATGTTTGCTACGCAATCGAGTTCAGAGTATGTGGATTACCTTAGCGGGGGGTAACGCGTCGAGAACACATTTCAGGTAGTTGTGTTACTTACGGCCCGCACCGATTGAAGAAACGTTATTTATCTTCGCAAGAACGAAAGTAAAGACCTTTATTTGTAACCTACGAAAACTACGATGAGATGTTGGACTCATTTGAAATATTTACAGTGTCAGGAATAGTTCTCTGGTCAAAAACATACAGTCCTATAAATCGCGCTATTGTCAATAGCTTTATCACGGATGTTTTCATTGAGGAAAGATCACCGCAAAATATCAGAATAACAAATGACCTTTCGGCCACAAAGAATCCATCATATAAACATAACAAGCATACTATTAAATGGACGACGGTCAAGGAGCTAGGATTAATCTTTGTTGTAAGCTGGTCTCAATTTTAGTTACAAAATGACTTCTATAAATCTAGGGCTAATTCGAAAATTAAGGCTGTTTACCGTTCTCTGCTACATCTTACTTGGATTGATAAGCTAGTCGATAATATAAAAATTATTTTTGTAGATTTATACGCTGATCAGCTTCGAAATTCTCATACTACGCTTGTTGATTGCAAGTTTGATGCATACTTTGACCAGCACATCCAGGAAGTTGAGAAAGCCGCTCCTAGCTCTGATATTAAACACCTAAATTCTAGATATCTAGATGATGACTATCGTTTTACGCCAGATTTGGTTCAAGAAGAATCAACAGTACTTCCTAGCTTTTTATTAAGAGGTGAGATCAAGAGATCTGTACGCAAGGGTAATACACTAAATATTCAAGATTCGATTAAGCCATCAACAAAATCCGCGTCAATTGAAGAAATACCTTCATGCATGATCAAGCCATACATTAAAGTGCCTGATGGTCACCTAATCACTGAAAAAATCGGACGTCCCAGTCGAAGTTCCCGAAAAGCAAGGAGAACAGCAGACACATCTACGACTTATGCTTCCAGTGATGAGATGCAATTACAGAAAAGCCGAGCTTCAAAAAACTTGACAGCAAAAAAGGGTCGAAAATGGGATGCGAACAACTTACCCGATGAAGATGATGGATTACCACTCGATTATTCGGAGCATAATGATGCCACTCCAAGCAAAAGTGAGATCCGTATAGAGGATAGAGCCATTGCGAAATCAGACAAGGAATCTTGGGGGCGAACAACTGATAATGGACGATTTGTATTGAAGGACTTAGATGATCAGATAACATCTATCCTTAATTCTGATAATTGCAAAGAGAATAACACAACTATTCATAATGGAATTTTGGGATCAAGCTTTAATACAATAAAAGGGCTCGTCAGAAATGTCGTAGGAGGCAAAACACTTACCAAGGAAAACTTGCATAAGTTTATGAAAGAGATGGAAGATCATTTACTCCGGAAAAACGTCGCTCGCGAAGCAGTACTTCGATTATGTGAAGGGGTGGAAACAGAGCTAATTGGACTGAAGACTGGAAACTTTGAGAGTAAGCTGACCTAGCAAACTTTTTACCCAATCAAAACTTATGTGTGCTAGGCGTCCAGTCTAGAATTAACACTGCTATGGAATCATCCCTGAAAAAAATACTGACCCCTACCTCATCATTGAACCTCATTAGAGAAATAGACGCAGTTACAAAACCGTCAAGCATTTTGATGCAAAAAAAAAGACCCTACGTTATGTCTATAGTTGGTGTGAACGGTGTAGGAAAGTCGACGAACTTATCAAAAATTTGTTATTTCCTTCTACAGAATAAGTATAAGGTTCTAGTCGTTGCCGGTGATACCTTTAGATCAGGAGCTGTTGAACAACTGGCAGTACACGTGAGGAACCTCCAAGAATTAACTGAGCGGGAAGGTGGTGAAGTAAAACTCTATCAGAAAGGGTATGGGAAAGATGCTGCGAACGTTGCGAGGGATGCTATCACGTTTGCAACTCAGGAAGAATTTGACGTTGTGTTAATTGACACTGCAGGACGTAGGCACAATGATCAGGTTAGGAGACCCAGCCAATTTTTTCTAAAAACTCACTGGTATAGCGACTCATGTCTTCGCTTGAGAAGTTTGCAAAGTTCGCTAATCCTGATAAAATTCTCATGGTTGCGGAGGTAAACAAACTTCACGGTCTATTACTGATATGCCCTCTTGTTAACTGTTAAAATAGGCGTTGGTTGGAACAGATTCCGTAGCCCAGGCACGAAACTTTAATGACGCTTTTGGCAATGGTCGAGCCCTTGATGGCTTCATCATCTCCAAGTGTGACACAGTTGGTGACATGATAGGTACAGTAGTCAGTATGGTGCACGCTACCAGTGTGCCGGTGTTATTTGTCGGAGTTGGGCAGCACTACAGTGACCTGAGAAATTTATCAGTCAAGTGGGCGGTAGAGAAGCTGCTTAGTAGTAATTAAAAATTTTGACCCTGTGACAATAAAATATAAGATTCTATTACCATACAAGATATTGTTTTTTTGCGTTTGTTGTCCTAAAAAGTCTATGGATATGAAAGGACATGTAGGTCCTTTCTGCCTACAGGCCGGGAGTATCTATGCCTCGGGTAGTGTACACCCTGCTATGCCTTCTTCACGACTACTTTCCAGCAGTAATACCCCCCACAAGTCTTCACTCGAGTTCACACTAAGAGGAGCCGTTATTCCGTCATTATCTCCCCTCTCCAGCCAACAAAACGATAGCCATTTGAGGGTGTGTAGCTGCAGGAAAAAGTCTCAAGAACCACTGGGTGCGGGGATCTCATATTTGGAACTGTTCGGATTAGGCCCTGGTGAACGATGTCTAGCCTAATTGTGCTATTTTGCAGGCTACTGTTCCAATTATTCATGGGGTCATCATCAGGGTTGTGAGTAGTTTCGGTTTTGGTGTGGGTTGTTAGATTGATACCTAAGCGTGTCGCATAGTAGTCAGATATGCAACTCGAGTAGCATATGCACGGTAAACCTCAACTCCAAAATGATGGTACAAATCAAGTTTTATATGCTACGTCCTTTATGGCTAGCGTGGTTTGAATATGGGGAATTTACCTGTAGATAGATAAAGACGTTGTAGCCCTCTGATAGTTGGGACAAGTCTTCTACAATATTATATCGGAATCAATACTAGCCTCTCATCAAGCAATCTCATGAATTATTTCCAATGTCTGTGATAACAGACATACATGCACAAAGTCGACAACAAGTTTAAAGTCGATAAGAGTCGAATTCCTTCGAGGAGAATATTTGCCGGTGGGATGCCCCCTTCCCTATGAAGAAGGACATTAGGCGAAGTCTTCCAGACCGGTAACGCGGCACGTAGGGCTAGTCGAATGGTTTTGTCGATCAGACTACATAGGTGTGTAGTCTGTGGCGTTGAGGTACCTTTCTTCGTTGGCCGTGTTAGTCCGGGTCACCATACATCCGCTCCAAATGTTGCTACTGGTACGATGCATGAGTCGATAGCGGTAACCAGAGGACCTGGGGCCGCTCCTCGTCGAAGTGGGTTAATTCGCCGCATGTGCTGGGTAGCTTTGAGGGCCTTCCCGCACCGGGTCGCTACATGGTGCTTGAAGGTGAGACGCGGATCATGGTGAATTCCAAGCCAGCGAATATGCTCCCCCGGCCGGACAAGCCTACTGCCAACTTGTATTCCTACCGATTCGCCCTGATTTCTCCCTTTGAATTGGATCACCTCAGACTTGTCGAGGTCGAACGAAACCGCGTTCTCTTCAGCCCATTTCAGAAGATGGTCGACCTCACCTTCTGCCGCCATCGCAGACTCGGCTAACGAGCGACCGACGCCGAGAATCCCAATGTCGCCCGCATAGCTAAATCGTGCTCTGCAGTTCCCGTTTCTCATGGGCTCGGCCATGTATAACAGGAAGAGCAATGGAGAGATCGGTGATCCCTATGGTACCCCTAGCCTCAAATATCTCGGGCTGGTCACGCCTTCCGGGTATTGTACCTGTACCCTCCTGCCTTTGAGAAAGGAGGATGTCCATTGTAGTACCGAGTCTGGCCAGTTTTGTGCCTGAATTCGCCATAGTAGTCGGTTATGTAGGACAGCGTCGAATGCTCCTTGTACTTCTATTGTTACAAAGGTGGATGCCCATCCTTGAGATCAAGCTTCCTCGACATCGTGCACTACTGAAGATACCAGATGATTTGCCGATCGTTTTGGTAGTGCGCCAAACTGTTGGTGGCCTACAATGTCTAAAGTGATGGCTAATGCTGACATCTTTTCGCAAAGATTCTTTCTAGCCCCTTGCCTAGACATGAGAGAAGTGCAATTGGTCTCCATCCCTTGGCCGTTGATAAATCACGACAGCTCTTCGGTAGGAATTGTTGTAATTAAGGGAGTAACATGACTGCATTACAATAAACTGTTCACATTAGAATAATGTGCACATGCGCCATGGGATATGATTGACCTAAATCATCACTCACTGGTATGACATATTATTTCCCAATAGATTCCTAATGGTATCTATTGGCACTAGGATCTCTCACATCCTTCCTTTCTCGGTTAGACAAGGACAGATGTTGGAACATCCACTAGTGTGCAGAACCCCCTTATTCATGTATATAGAAGAAGGTCTTGTCACGTAGATAAACAAAGCAACTCATACAATAGGAAATTAAAACAATCTCCACATTATTTACACACTTGAAAATACCAGAGAATATCCTCAAGTTCGTCCATTGATCCAAGTCCTAAGAGTATAACTCACAAACTTTACTTCTCTTAAAGCCATAGCTACCTCCTTCCAGACCTTCATCCTAACGGTACGTCATTCCAGCTCAGCATAGCCTTTCAATAGGAATGACTTCCGCCAGCTTGAAACATGACTGATGGTAACCAAGTCTTAGGCATGCTTGAAAGAGTTGTGTTATATATCTCCCAGTACTGCTCCAGCATACGGCTAGCAATTCTACTGAGGTTCCGTCTGCACCAGGACAGGTATTACCTCCTCCTGTGGCACATGACTGAGCTTTCAGCTCTGATAGCTCCTCAGACCATGAAATCCGAGGCTCTGCTGGCCTTGTGCAAGGTGGAAGATTGTCTGTTTCCGAGTGACGGTCCAGTAGTAGATCGCGCAAAATCATTGTTCGCTCTGCCTGGTCTGACACTAGCTTTCCATCATGCCGAAGGGGTGGCGGGATTTTTTGGGGTTTCGGGGCCGCCCACCTAATCATCTTGTAGACGTCCGAGCACGACCGCATCGTTTCTATCCGCTTCTTCCAGTGCTCTCTCTTGGCTGATGCTACTGTAGACCTCAGGATTTTGGCGTAGGTAGTCCGTTCTTCCTCGGTATATGCCGAGCGATAGTTAAGATGAGCCTCTTTGCACTTTGGAGTCCACCAGGGCGTAGATCTACCGCTTCCTTAACTACGTCTCTTTCCGAACGCTTTCAATCCGTCTGTTACACATCCTACAATAGTCTAAGACTTAGACAGGATGTAAATGAAAAAAACAAACAAATCCGTCTGTTAAGGCCTGAAAAATCGCTTCTGTGTATCTCTCAACATTGCTAGTCGACTCTAAGGATTGCGGAGCTGAGATCCACTGAGATACTGCTCGTACGAGTTCCGGAAGCTTTTCTTTCGAGACTCGCGGTGAGCCTTGACATTCTGCCTCTGCATGACTTTTACTAGTTACCAAGCCGCAGTCAGGAAAATGGTCGCTTGTCACGCACTCACTCCGCTCTACCCACGCCTGTGCCCCCGCGACATTTGTCCATACTAGATCAAGCTTATTTCCGGCTCGATGCGTAGGCTCCCCAATGATAAGACAAGTGAGGCGGTGTTGCTCAGCCCAGGCCTGTATTTTCTCGCCGTGACCATACGAGCGCGTTGTAACCGGTTGCCATACCTAGTAAACGGAGTTGAAGTCGCCTGCGATTATTGATGCTGGCGGAGGTACCTAGTTGATTACTGGTTCAATTGCTGCGTCGTTATTGTGCGCCTTGTACACATTGAGAAATGTGACATTGTTGACAACTACCCAGCAATAGTCTCTGGTCAGCAAAGAACATGGGAAAATCTATTTGGCAAATATTTCCTTCTCCTTCGTTTGAGTGTACGTTACGGCTCGTGGCCGAACGCCTATCCCGCCGTGCGGGATGTGCAGAGTATGTCCAGGGTGAGATTTTGTCTTGCTGGATCACCAAGGCTCCTGTAGAAGCACAACATCAATGCTTCTCTCGAAAGCTCGAGAAAGTGCAATGTCGTGCATTGGACCCCCCCTACCAACATTTATTGACATAAACTTGAGCTTTGGTAGGGATGAACGACGCTGTGAGGCGGCTTTCATGAACGGGGGGTGATATCAGTCGGCGTGACTAATGCGGGTGGTAAAGCGGACGAGCCTGGGCTACTCGCACTTGTAGCGGCTAGTAAGCCGGTAGATTGCCTGTAGCCTGTGATATTCATCTCATGCATACTCATTACCTCAGCGCTAAGATACGTTGGTATTAAAAGTCTGGTACTGCCCGTGCACGAAACATTGTTGGTAACTAGCCCACACTTTAATAGTGAGAGCCGGACTAGAGGACAGAGACTAGTGTTTGAAATATTGGAATCATGTATATAAATAGGGCGTTGAGTGTAGCAGTAGTCTTGTTCTTCAGTTAGTAAATAAACTTACCTTTCGACATATGAACGCCCAAGCTTTATTTATCGGAACTGTTACAGCACTCCCTTATTTAGTGTTGGCGAGGCTGGCTGCTCGCGTTTTGTCAGCCGCCGCTTTTGCCCTCCTGACCGCCTCGAACTTACAGTTGCCGGCATTTCGGATTGTGACAAGCTGCTCCTTAGACAGAGCTCCAGCACGATTAGGTCGGGCAAGACAGTTCCGGCTATCTACGCAATGAGGACCTCCGCAGTTGCGATATCTAGCAGCAGCAAGACATTCTATTTCTGAATGCATCAGTGAGCCACAGTTTTGGTAGGCTGGAGTCCGAGAGTAGCCGCTGGTACTGTGGTACCCAAAGCAACGTTTGCAGATTGCTTGCGTTTGACGCTTCGGGACTGTGGCTGCCCGTCTTGAGTGTAACGGCTGGTAAGCCGATTGGTTCCTGTAGCGCATGTTGGCCAACATGAGCCTAGCCTGATATTGGTAGCGCACGATTGATCGACATCAATGTGTGGATATATGATGCCACTCAACAGAATATCAAGGCATCGGCATCTAGTTCGGCAGGGCAGCAGTATTGGACCATACAGCTACAACACATGTAAAGAATCCCATTGGAACCGAGAGGGAGGGACTGTGCCTCAACCACATAGACAATGTATATATAAGTATAGATAGAGACTGAAGTAGTTTTCTCTTCAGAATGATAATTTACATACTATCAACCACATAGTTGCACCAGCGCCTGTTCCTTGATCCGTGACATTGAGTCGTCAAAAAGTCAGAA